CAGGAGTTGGAGGTTGCTGTGAGCTGTGATGCCATGGCACTCTACCCAGGGGGACAAGCTTGAGGCTCTGTCTCAAAAAAAACAAAAACAAAAACAGGCACTCACTGCTCAGCTCCTGCTGGGATTTGGGTCTAGCTTGACTAGTTCTCACTGTTTCCCCAAAGAACAGAAAATCTGGATCTTTCTGTGAAATTTTCTAGTTTTTAACATGGTCTTAGAATGTTTATGGACTCCTAATTCAAAAATTTTCAGGATGATGCATTGGCTAAACAACATGTCTAGAATTCATTTAAAAGTTAATCCATTTAAACCATTAAAGCAGTGGTTTCTCAAACTTCCAGAACACCTGGGAGCCACGGTACCCTTTGCAGAACATTATAAACTGTGGTTCTCAACCTTGGCTGCGCATTAGAATCATCTGGAGATCTTAAAAAAAACCTATTGTGGACCCACTTACTGCAGTGTAGTTAGAATCACTGGGGAGTGGGTCCAGGCAGCATCTGTTTTTAAAGTTCTCCAGGTGACTCTAATGTACAGCCAGGGTGCAGAAGTACAGCTGCACTGATCCACACACTCCTTCATTAGAACCAGCTGAAATGATGTATGCAAGCACAGGCACACCGAGCAGCCCAGGTGTCTGAAAACATTTTAAAAGGCAGTTAACTAAACATGGTCAGCTATTTCCTGGTTTTTCCATGAATCCTCTGCATGAATATTCTTTGCTTGTTTTTTTGCTCCCTGAAGCAAAACAGAGAAAAATGGCATTCATCAATATATATTTTTCTGTGCAATGGAAAAAGTTGGTCATAATTTAATTCGTAAAGGTGGGATCCCTAGTCCAGCTCTCAATAAAACCAGTGTTCTGCAGAGGCATGGCTTAGGAACCACACAACTGGCAGTTGGCCCTTGTTGGAGGTTGGTGCTCTAGCCCCATTTCATGGAATCCCGCCACATCATGTTGATGGAACCAGCTCCATTAGATGATCTCCTCAAGCTAGAAGAAGAAGATCCAGTCTCCTCCAGCTTCCATAGTCTCTGCTTCAACAAACGAGGTGTGGTCAGAAGACTTGGGTTCAAATCCTGCTTGTGCTACCTGATAGCTGAGTGGCCTAGGGAAAGCCATTGAACTTTTCTGATGCCGAGTTTCCTCATTTGTAGAGTGATAAATTTTATGTGTTCTCATTCTCCTCAAGGGTGATTAGAGAGAGGGTCAGATGGGTTACTAAAAGCAGTAGGAAATGTAAGGTGGTACTATTATACTTTGTGTCTTTATTTACACTCTGATACATGCCACAAATTATTTACTACTAGCATTTTTTTATATCTTGGTTTATTTATTTATTTGAGACAAAGTCTCACTCTGTTGCCCTGGATAGAGTCCAGGGCATCATAGCTCACGGCAACCTTAAACTCTTGAGCTCAAGTGATCCTCATGCCTCAGCCTCCCGAGTAGCTAGGACTACAGGAACCTGCCCACTATAACCCCTAGCTAGTTTTTCTTTTTTAATAGAGATGGAGTCTCACTCTTGCTCTTGCTCAGGCTGGTCTTAAACTCCTGAGCTCAAGCAATGCACCCACCTCAGCCTCCCATAGTGTTAAGATTACAAGCGTGAGCCACCAGACCCATGCCACAAATTATTTAAAACATCATTATTATTCAGCAGATTTAGCTATGAAGGCCAGCTAATACAGCCTTGATTAATAAGGCTGTATTAATCTTTTTCTTTTCTTTTCCCTCATAGACAATTCTTTTTAAATGACTGATAATTGTCTAAGCTTTGCTTGCTAGAGTCAAGCTGCTTGTGTCAACTAACTCATGTGATACCCTGGCCAAGACCTTTGTGGACATTTGTTTCTAGCTCTGAAGAGAGTTGTACCAGCTGACTCCTGATACAGCTTCTAACTCATTTGGAAATCTCTAGCCTTCCCTCCTCCATCTTGAAATCTCCTTAAGATTCGAAGCAAGATGGGCAGCACCTGTGGCTCAAAGGGGTGGGGCACCAGCCCCATGTACCAGAGGTGACAGGTTCAAACCTGGCCCGGCCAAAAACTGCAAAAAAAAAAAAAAAAGATTTTCACCAAGAGGAGCCCATTTTAGGGAGCAGGTGCCTGATTGATGGGTCAAAAGAAACCAAACAAGGATGGTCACTAGGAGGTCCTGAGAACCCTCTCAGCTCATTGCCTGCCCCATCTCCCGGCTTCCCACCGCCTTGATGCCACTGACTCTCCTCATCAGTCGTGCTTTTTCTGCTCCCCTTTTCCTTTTTGCAGTAGGGTACACTTGGCACTGACCCTTTGTTCTTCTTGCTGGAGGTGCTATGGTGACTGAAGCCATATTGATGACAGCTCCTTCAAGACCTAGGTCTGTTGGTTCTTGAGAAGGTTGCCAGTCCAAGGAGCTTATCCCTGTTCAGAAGACGACACACGTGTACACTTACACATTAGATTGCTATCACTGATTTCTTTCTCTGGTTCTATCTGAAATTGTTTAGGAAAGAGTTGGCAGTGTTTGTTCTCTCAGAGCCGATTACTAATCAAGGCTGTATTAGCCTGCGTTCACACATTTGTTTTCCCGACATCTGTTCCATTAATTTTCTAAGAACCAGTGTCAGGTCTACCAGATGGCAGTTTCCAGAAACATTCATCCTTTCCTAAAGATTGGTAGTGCATTTGCTTGTTTCCAGGCCTCTGATCCTTCCTGCCTTGTCTGTGACTTCCTGAATCGCCCTCGGGGTTAATATGAGCTCATCCCAGCCATGTCCATTATGTGTGGAATCTGGGTCTATCAGCTGGAATTTCAACTTCTGGCTATTGTTACCATTTGTGTAGAAAGTTTGTCTCTGGGTGTTAATGCTGCTCTGACCTTAAGGTTGTAAAGTGTGTGGGAGCAGAAAAAAGAGGATCTTTCCTTTATCTGGCTCTGAGGGGCGGGAAAGAGTTTTTGTTGCCTCTGTCTTATGGATAGGGATGAAGAGACCATTGGGTGACAGAGGCTGATATAGCACATGCTGTCCAGGGAGAAGACTCTCAAAGAGGACAGAACCAACAACTGTAGGGTAGCTTGGTTTGAACATACACCTGTGTCTCTGCCAGGCTCAAAATGTGTGCTGTTGGGCCTGGCATAGTAGTTCCCACCTGTAATCCTAGCACTCTGAAAGGCTGAGCTGGGGGATCCCTTGAACTCAGGAGTTTGAGATTAGCCTGAGCAAGAGCGAGACCCCATCTCTACTAAAAATAGAAAAACTAGGGGAGGCACCTGTGGCTCAAAGGTGTAGGGTGCTGGCCCCATATGCTGGAGGTGGCAGGTTCAAACCCAGCCCTGGCCAGAAACTGCAAAAAAAAAATAGAAAAACTAGCTGGGTGTTGTGGTGGGTGCCTGTAGTCCCAGCTACTTGGGAAGCTGAGGCAAGAGTAGCTCTTGAGCCCAAGAGCGTCATGTTGCTGTGAACAAGGCTGATGCCATGGCACTCTACCCAGGGCACTGGAGCAAGACCCTGTCTCAAAAAAGAAAAAAAAGTGTGCTGTTTGCCATGTAAACCCTGCTTCATTAGGTCTGAAACACAGGGATGATATGCCACTGCACTGCTTTCTATGCTCCCTGCAGTTAACAAGATACATTTTTAAATTATATTTAGAGACAGGGGTCTCACTTTGTTGCCCAGGCTGGTCTTGAACTCCTGGCCTCCAGCCATTCTCCTACCTCAGCCTCCCGAGTAGCTGGGACTACTGGCATTCAGCCACCATGCTCAGCAACAGGATAAAATCTGACCTCCTTCCAGGGGTCCCCAGTCTACTTTCTTAACCTTTTCTCCCCTGGCTGCAGCTTTGCTGCTTTGGAGCAGCATTCTCTCCCCTCCCTGCCTTGTTTCCTTCCATTCTCAAACCCTCTCCTCCTGCAGGGCCCAGATCAGTTAGCACCTCCTCCAGGAAGCTCCCTCCTTTAATTTCCCATAGCAGATTCTGAGCTTCTCCAAAGACTCTGTCTCTCTGGTCCTATTAGTTGAGTTCATATATTTTTTTGTTTTTTTTTTTTTTTTTTTTTTTTTTTTTTTGAGACAGGAACCTCAAGCTGTCCCCCTGGGTAGAGTGCTGTGGCATCTCAGCTCACAGCAACCTCCAATTCCTGGGCTCAAGTGATTCTCCTGCCTCCACCTCCCAAGTAGCTGGGACCACAGGCGCCCGCCACAACGCCTGGCTATTTTTTGGTTGCAGCCGTCGTTGTTTGGTGGGCCTGGGCTGGATTCGAACCTGCCACCTTGGGTGTACATGGCTGGCACCTTAGCCACTTGAGCCACAGGCGCCAAGCCTTGTTTTTTGTTTCATGTATTAATAATGTAAATGCGGTGGCTCACACCTGTAATCTAGCAGTCTGAGAGGCTGAGGCAGGTAGGTTGCTTGAGCTCTGGAGTTCAAGACGCCTGAGCAAGAGGGAGACCCCATCTCTACTAAAAATAGAAAAACTAGCTGGGTGGGTGCCCAGACTAGCACCCAGACTAGCCCAAAACTAGTTGTGGAAGGTGCCTGCAGTCCCAGCTACTCAGGAGGCTAAGGCTAGAGGATCACTTGAGCAGAAGAGTTTGAGGTTGCTGTGAGGTATGATGACACCACTCCACTTTAGTTGGGGTGATAGAGTGAGATCCTGTCTCGAAAAAAATAAAGTCCCCTGGATGTTAATCCCCTTAGATCAGCAGAAGCCATGTCTGTTGACTTTATGCTTCTCAGTGTTATGCTACACTTGACACATAGCCCTTGCTCAGTACATGCCTGGTAAGTGAATGAGTGTCAGAAAGAACAAACATAGGAATGAATTAACTAGCTACAAGATGTGTAACCTATTAGGGGAACTGCGGATATCTTCTGAGAATCTGTGTTTTCTAAAAGAGTCGGGAAAACAGGTTGGAGAGCTTGCCAGAGTTGGGCTGTCCAGGCAACGCGAGGAGAGGAGAGTTACATTTGACTGTCCAGTCTCTAGGGCCATGTCCTGGGACTCTGAGCACTGATTGCTCCTTTCTCAGGACTGGATATGGTTCTAGGGTCACCAAGAAGCTTCCTCCCATCTCCACCTTTGAGTTAGAGGCCTCAAGCTGCTACCACGGTCACTTGGAGAGTGTTGGTTGGCAGCATGCCACTCCTGTGCCCCTCACTCAGGCCGTGCCTCTCCCCACTGCTTTCTCTCCTAGATGAGCTGGCCGTCTGCCCCAAAGGAATTACCTCCAAGGTTTTCCGCTTTAATGTGTCCTCAGTGGAGAAAAATGGAACCAACCTGTTCCGAGCAGAATTCCGGGTCTTGCGGGTGCCCAATCCTAGCTCCAAGCGCAACGAGCAGAGGATCGAGCTCTTCCAGGTGAGCCCCCTGGGAACAGAGGCCGCACAGACAGGAGAGCCAGCTGCTTTGCCACCTCAGGCCTGCATAGGGTCCAGGGGTCCACAGATGGGGGCTGGAAGCCTGGCTTCTGTGAGCCTTGGTTTCTGTATCTGTATCTGTCATTAAGAGGATTAAGAGTCACCTAAGGTGCAGAGACCTCTAGTTTCCCGTTGCTGCCCTCACCTGTCCCCCATAGTACTTTGTCCTGGCCTTGGGTATTAAATCTTTTCTTCTACCTGTAGATACTTCGGCCGGATGAGCACATCGCCAAACAGCGCTATATTGGTGGCAAGAATCTGCCCACACGGGGCACTGCCGAGTGGTTGTCTTTCGATGTCACTGACACTGTGCGTGAGTGGCTATTGAGAAGAGGTAGGTTGACCATTATGATGAGCATCTGAGAAGGAACCTCAGGGCCCTACCTCTTTCATGAAACGGAGGGAAGAAGGCAGAATTAGGGGCATCACCGTGGTGGGTTCAACACTCAGCTTTGCCCAGAGTCTCTGAGTGTCCTCCAGTCACTCACTCAGCTGGTATTTCTTCATGCTCACTCTGAGCCAGGCCCTGGGAATGCAGCTGTGCAGACAGGGGAAGTCCCAGATCTCCTGGGGCTTCTGTGCTGGCGGAAAAGACACATAATAAACAAGTAAACATATCGATGAATAAGAATTTCTGATAGCAGGAAGTGAAAAATAGAGAAGGGCAATATGATAACAACCGGTGGGGCCCAGCATTCGATGCTCTGGGAAGGTCACTAAGATGAAGGCACATTTGTGCACGGGCGATTGAGGGATAAGCAGAAGTCAGCCCATGAAGGTCAGGGTAAAGGACATTCCTAAGCAGAGGAAGCAGAGAGACCCAGGTCCTCAGGTGGAGACAGCTTGAGTTGTTCTAGCAGCAGTGAACAGATTGGTGTGGTGGCAGCATAGTGGGGGTGGGGGAATGGGGATGAGTTACAGATGTGGCTGGAGCCAGATCATTTAACTTAGGATCTGTTGGGCCATAGCGAGGTTTTAGGACAGGATGAGAAGCTGTGGATCACCAGAGTGGAGGCTTTGGGCGAGACCATTTGTTTTACATCCTTAAAGATCCCCTGGTTGCCATGAGATCAAGAGAAGACGCAGGAAACCCAATCAGGGCCATTGCAGCTACCCAGACGAGAGCTCTAGGGGCTCAGGCGAAGGTGGTTGGAGTGGATGTGGACATTATGTGGAATTGGAGGTAGAGCCAATAGCAGTGGCTAACTCGGTATGGGGCATGAGGACACAAGGGAAGTCCCAGATGACTTCCACATTTTTGGACTGAACATGCAGGTGGTATCATTTATTGAAGACTGGCAGAAGAATGGGGTTGGGCAATTAGGTTTGAAGGGCCTGGCAGTCTTCCTAGTAGAGCTACCCAATAGGTACATCAAGCCTCACGTGTCCTGAACACCTCACTTGGTTCCTTCCCGCACCTGGGAAATTGGGTAACGGTTCCTCCCCTGCATGCCTCACAGAGCTTCTTTAAGCATCAAATGTATTAACTTCATAGCTTTCAATATGTGTGACAAGAGCAAGCTTTTATTGTGTCAGATAAGGAAACTGAGGCTGGGAGAAGTGAAGTGACTAGACCAAGGCCGTCCAGTCTGGATTAGAGGTTTGGTGTCTGCTGACATCGTGCTCTGTGTTTCTCTCCCCTTCCTAGGCTGCTTCTGTCTGGTCTGGCAGCTCAGTGGGTTGGGTTACATGTGGCAGTCCCACCTGTCCCTCTTCTCTTTCTTATGAAGGGTTTTCTCCCATCACCAGCTGCTTAAAAGCCACAAGCCACCCACACATAGATGCCCAGAGTCACCAAGGCAGGTGGATCCTCTCCTGTCCTTGGTTTTAGGAAACTGGGGGTTAAGGCTCTAAGGCAGGCATCACAGACTGCTTGGCTCGCATATTTTGTTAACATTTAGCTAGTGGGCAACAGGTTTTATTTTTGCTTTGTTTTTTTAAAGTCAGGAGATTTCATATAAAACCTGGACTCCTGACTTTTCTTGAAAAATTGGAAGATTTCCTGTTAACCACTTACCAGAGATGATGGGTATGCATCTTCAATTCCTGCAGCCCCCACCATCCTCACTGTTCCCAAAGAATACAGTGGGCAAAAAAAAAAAAAAGAATACGGTGGGCAGTTCCTATTTGGTATCATGTGGTGGCTCAATTTGCTCACTGGTGTGACAGGCCTGGACTCTGTAGGCATCCGAATTTGCAAGCCCCATTTATTTAGTGGTTGAGTTGGCAGCTGGGTGGGCTGGAGGTCCTGCCCCAGTTCTAAAAGTACACTGGAATTCCATCCTGTCCCTTCTACTGAGCATAAAGGCAAAAGCCTAGGAGAACCCACGTGGGCCTGCGACAGCAGCGGGAATTCTGACTCAGACGGCATTCTGCCTACAGCCCGACCTGGCTACAGAAAGGAGGGGCTGGGGAAATTAATCTCTTAGCTTCCCTGTCTGATTTTGATCAGCTCCACCTGGATTTCTTTGAAGCCCTGGGCACTTGAAGGAGTTCTTATTTTCACAGCTGCAGAACTCAATGAGAAGTTTGCATTGAGAATGATTTCCATCCTCCTGAGACATCAAAAAGATAATTTCGTAACAAAACCTATGGGTCCCCCACCCACCATCCTCACGGCTGCCAGTTCTGAGGTTAGTTCTTCATTAGAACCTTCAGTTCCCACTTAGGCGGATATTACCCACCCCTCTCACTACACAGGCCTTTACTTATACAGAGCTCATGAGTCTCTTCAGAGTCCATAGCCCCAAACCAGGCAGCAAATGGACTCCAAACTGGAGCAGCTGATGGTGTGGATTGATGAGGAAACTGAGTCACGTGTGTGGTCTTGGATAGGGCCCCAACCATCTCTGACTCAGAACACAGCCAGGGCTCCTGGATATCTGTGTTGGATCCTGGGACTGCCATCTACTGGCTGGATACCTTGGGCAAGCCATTTAATTTCCCTAAGCCTCAGTGTCCTCATCTGTATAATGGGGGATACAAATAATTCTTACTTTGTAGGATTATTATAGAGATCAGATGAGTTAATGCTTATAGAATTTCAGCACAGTGTTTGATCTGGGGTAAGCTCAACAAATGTTGATGATTGCTCTTATTAATTCTGAGCCCTCTCCCCAAGCCAGGCCACTCCTTCCTACTCTCTACCTCTTCCCTAACATTATCCCCAACACAACTGTCTACACCTTGACTTTCCAACTCACAGAATCATAGAACTCACCCATTCCAGGTCTCTCCCAGCCCACCTTAACACACCTGGAACGGGAAGTACACTGTGTTGTTAGTAGCTCCTTCAGATATTCAGCTCCCTCTTCCAGCTGCCTTAGACCGGGGGTAGGACACTAACTCCTCAAGCTTCCCTCTCTGTTCTCTTCTCCTCTCACTGGGGCTCGGCTGCCCTGTTATTGGTTCTGCCTTTCCCGCTGAGCTAGCCCTCTGGAACAGAGTTTAAAGCTCAGTAGGTGTCAAAGTGTCCCAGGGGCTGCCCTGACTTGGAGCAGGACAGATCTTATTGGGCTCTGAAGTTTATGGGAAAGAGCTGGGGTTTTTCTTTTATTGTTGTTTTTGTTTTATAAGAGACGAGTCTCACTCTATTGTCCAGGCTAGAGTGCACTGGTGTCAGCCTAGCTCACTGCAGCCTCCCCTGGGCTCAAGTGATCCTCCCACCTCAGCCTCCCGAGTAGGTGGGACTACAGGCCTGTGTCATGATGCCCCACTCATCTTTATATTTTTCGTAGAGATGGGGTTTCAGTATGATGCTCAGGGAGCTGGCTTTTTTTTTTTTT